AAAAGCGTATAATCACTCTTGAAATAAGCAAATCACTTGTAACCATCCTAAACATACATGAAATTCACATGAAGATAAATATACATGTTTAAATTAAAAAATAATTCAAATACATGTATGCATAACATCTATCTTTACGTCATAATGTAGTGAACAGAACACGGGTGGGGACAATCCAATGTATTTAACACAAAATTGCAGAACTTGTTAATAAAATCTAACAATGATAAAGTAAATTTTTAATTTGCAAAATGTCCACCAATTGTCTCATAATGACTCAGACTTCATTATTCTTGTATTTTCATACAAATTGCATTTTGTTTCCATTCTTTAGTGTTCGATCCTCTTGTCTCTCTGCTACAAGACCTTCTGTTTACGACTAACATCATATACTGCTTATGTCAATATAAATAGCACACACCACAATAATACTTAATGTGGTATTGTCTGTTATAGTAAATTTTGTTCGTCATTTTTGTCAAAACAAGAAAAAATAACTCAACATACACACACATAAACATTTTTAGTTAATATTGTTACACAGAAATTATGAATGTACTTAGTTGTTGTCGAATCAGCGATCTATAAATTGACTACGTAAATTTTTAAATCTAACTAACAAATAGATCATAAAACATACAATTTCAGTCCATTTGGATTTTATTAGAATTTTACCCATCTGTTGTTTGGTTGACAATAAAAAAAATCATAATCATGTATAATAAATAAGGATATAACATATAGTTATTTTTCGCCCACACACAATGTTCATAGACAGAATTTTCCCAGTCTAATTGATAATATATTAAATAATAGATCAATTGAAATCCAGTTACTAACTAAATTTCACAATTAAACTAATTAATACAACCATAATTAGGTTAGTTTTAAAAAGAGAAAAAGTTGATATTGTTTTAAATGCTATCAGCATTGAATACATATGATTATAAAATTTTATTGGTATACACTATACTGAACATTATGCATTCAAGTGAGTAAATAGAGATTAGAATTAAAAAAAAAACAATTAGTTCTTTGCTTTACAGAAACGTCTGTAAGTCATAATTAGATAGCATTAGTTATTTCAGTAGACCATTTTTGTACCCTATATAATAAAATCACCTATACGCTTAATTGAGTTAAAAAGAAATATGAAGTCTAGAAATTTAAGAAAACTGAAAACTAATCCGTGCACAAGAGATCTGATTTCAAACGAGGATAGAAGTAGTTAGTTGACATTATTGAGAATTGAATGTGGCACTAAATGATTGTTTATTAAGATAGTTTGTGGCTGGTAGATCTTGTACTCTGAAAGTTCTATATAATAAATTTTCAGCTGTTTTTTTGCTTCAAGAATTCTTCAACTTCTTAACTCTCAGCAAGTAACAGAAGGCAGATGTTTAAAGAGCTAAAAGTCATGGGTGGCATTATGTAGAGAAAATAAAAGCACTTAAAGGATTGAAGGCAATCTTGAGATTCTGTCAGATTTGAGAAAGATGCTACATATAGTAAAAAAATTCGTAATTATTTAGTCAGAATAAGAAAAACAAAATCGATCGTTGTCTGTCTTTTCCTTCAAAATTTACAAAGATTATTGATTCTCCAAGATGTTTTTGGTATTTCTTCTTGCTTCCGGAGACATTCTTAAGGAGTTATCAAGAACTTGTAGCAATGAATATACAAGTTAGTTTAAAAGTGGTAATTTTAAACTATCTTATTATAATTAGTGTACTGAATATTATTTAGAAATGAACAATTAATTGCATGGTGAATGACACCAATTGTAATTGGCGGCCCGACGCAACATGCTGATAACAGAGTATTTGCTTTAAACATATATAACCATGTTATTAAGCGATTTAGAGGTAGTGAAGGTTTGTAGCTCCTGTGAACGATTTTGATCGTTTCATACTTTGAGCTGGATGGCGTTTTGGTAAGTAGGCTAATAATATATATATATATATATATATATATATATATATATATATATATATATATATATATATATATAAACACATAAATGTGTATATGCACACATACACATGTACTCTTATCGAAGTATAAAGTTTTCATGACGAGATGTAATTTAGCCTTTTCATTTAATATCGAGCTTATGAACAGACGACAGAATATTATAAGTGGACAAAATATACATACAAAATATGAACATAATCATAGAAACTAAAAATTGAAATATTCGCCTGAAATAGATATTTTTGGAAATATAGATATGAAGATAGAAAACATTTAGAAGAGAAAGAAATTCAAAAAGACTTTTAGGGATGAATTCAATGACTATTAAAATAATATTAATTAATTAGATATAATTAAAATTATTGTTATCAATTTCTGAGACCACAAAGCTTCGATCACTTCATGTATTTCATCGAAAATTTACAGTTATAAAATAGAATCTTCAGTGAATTTAAGCCTGAACTTTAGTGTGAATACACACACACACACAACACAATTTTGAACAGACATTGAAATGTGATTTTTTTGAAATGCAACTTTTATAGACACGAACAAGGGAGGATATGAATGTAATGAATGTTTTAACGTATTAAAAAAAATTTAAACATACGTTTTTAGATGTTCACCGTTTGTCTAATTTATTTTACCGATACGTATGAATATGATCAAAATATATAAAATATAAATTTGTTCTCAGAAGCCTAATAAATCACCTCAAATCGAATGTTTAGGTTATACAACGAATCAATAAAAGCATTCATGAACTTTTAATCTACCCATGAGAAATATACTTTTACATCTACTTAAAGTTCAAAGTGTTGATATTATGTAGCATCATGAAATGAATGCTTTTTACTTTAGCCAAATAATTCCAAGTATTTGAAGTTTATTTTTCTCTTATAAACTGTAGAGTTTTAAGATCTGATGTATGAGTCGAAAAGATGTTTTTTTCAATTTTGCTTAATATAAATATTTAAGCTGCTTTTATCATAAGATATGCAAATTAATAAGCATTAAGTTTATTGAACTCTTATCTCAGTGGTAAAAGCTTGGACCAAATTGTCAGGCGAAACGTAGGATTTACTTCAAATTCTTACGCTGAGATTTTATGAATACATTCTTCCTTTTTAATATTATCTAACTTATTTCGTTACTTTTTAAACCATCATTAAATTTCGCGCACATTAAATTTTAACATATTTCAAATTAATTTAAATAATACTTCGTAGTTAACTCGATGCTAGTGAGCCATTCAACTGCTATAAACTACATGGTCCGATATCTATTCAGTTTCGTAGACGGATAATTATATGAATGAATGATAACATCCTCACTATACTATGTGGAGCTTGATCATGTGTTACAGCACGAGGTCATAATGTTAAAAAATCCTAAACTGACGTGATACACAAGTACGATTTTTCCTAATTTTCAAAGATTACACAGTTGATATCAGTTCACGATAATAAAAAACTACCTACAAATTTCACAATCTAAACAAAGCAACTTAAATTAGTTTCTCTTATTTCGTAATCATTACTAGGTAGCTTAATCACCAATATTTGTTTACAAACAAATTCCATTTTCAGTATATTTTTTCTCTTTCAGTAATCATATATTTTTCCTCATATTTTACCTACGTAATTTTAAATTAACACTCACCCATCTTACAGTCAGACGTATTCTATTCGATATTATTTAATAATTATATGAAAGCGAATAACAGTAAAGTTCAACACATCACTAACAACAGTTTACAAAAAAGTTTAATTTTCAGTTCATTGTGTTCCGATTATTGAATATTGGTAATACAATACAACATTTTACACAATGTATGTTGTATATGACAGTATGAAGTGAAAATTGGCCTATGCAAATGTGAAAAATATGCCCAAATAATCTGTAAGACCAGGATTTCAGATGATAATAGATAATGAATGAATGTAAGACGTAATGTCTATATAGACATATATGTTTATGGACAGACTCAATATTAAGCCTAAGAATAATTGTGTGTTTTTTTAAGAACTAGTCGGTAAAATACGTTTTTCCGAAAATTATTAAAACTACCACCCAGTGATTAGTTCATTTCAACCTGATCATCGAAAACTCTCAATTGAATTTGTTGATCCAATACTAATTAAATCGGTTAATAATAAGTATTTTACTTCTATCACTAAAAATGTTTTACAACAAATTAACCAGTGGTTTTCATCATGAACAGAAGTCAACTGAGAAACTAGTAAAAATCAATGAGCACAAGACATTTAATTCATCCTAACCTGAGTATTCTAAACACTGTTTTCCCTCGAATCTTTATAAGATGAATATTATTAGTATTAGTCAATGAATAGACAGTAATTGGTAGTACAACCTAATCAATCATATAATTCGGTTTTAATGTTATTTTCTTTGTGCATAAAAATTAAGTGACAAAGTGTTTTAATATTTTCAGAATTTCATTTATATCCATTTAAAATTCTCTAGACAACCTGTTCAAGAAGATTAGAAATGAATTAGGTAATACAATATCACATTCGAGGTTCTATGATTTATACACAATGTGTTGTTAATACAAAACAATGATATTTTGCTAAGTTGAAAATTTTACCCAAAAATAATGAAATAAAACCTTTAGACAATACATACTATCATCTTTCATGTAAATCGATAAAATCTTGCAATGAACCTGTACAAGATTCATTTACTATAGTTTAAATAACAAATAATCAACATAAGAGAAGTATCAAACTAGTATGAAACAGTTAACTTAATTCTATTTGCTTTAATTCACCTTTGTAGTAGATGTAATTATTTGATGATGATAACCTTCAAATGAAACATTTCCATACAACCATCTTTGATAGCTCTATTGTTAAGTATTAAGCGTGAAAGTCATAAATTTAACAATAATAAAAAATCAATTGGATTTAATTTAGTGAAAATATATAGTTAAATAGATCTTATTCTCCTTGCTTAATGAATTTTATGTTATTATTTCTTTTCTATCTTTTTGCTTTATATAGGTGTTAATTGGGATATAACTTATCTATTAAATCGTCGTTATGATATAGCACGTGCTGATGAAGAATTCCCTATCAAAATTCAACCACCTTCAGGTGATCTTTTATATAGTGTACCAGCATTACGTTTATTTCCACAATCAAAATTACCAAATGAAACATTTTTTATTCATTTAATATTCAAACCAAATAAAACAGCTATTCAACATGGATTATATTTATTCAGTATACGTGATCCAGATAATGTATTAAGACTTGGATTAAAAATAGTTGAAGTTAGTTCATTTAAAAAATATTTGTCTTTGAACAGTTAAACGATTTATGTGCTGTTATATATATATATATATATATATATATATATATATATATATATATATATATATATATATATAAACCTTATTGATGTAACCACTAACACGCTTATCAATCATTTACAAACAACTAACTCTGGTGATAAGTTACTGATTATTTAGTGTTAATGACCAGAAGATAAAAAACAGACTAACTAGTCCTTCTCCATTTAGATTTGTAAAAAATACTCTACTATGTTAGCTTTTTAATTTCAATACAAATTATGAAATCAAATACTCTGTATGAAAACATAATTATAGCAGTTGATGGTAGCTCAAGAAAGAAAATTCAATTTCCTGGATCATTTGTACTAGATTTTTTCCGTGAAAAGCATTTTTAGAGTTTGAACTGAAAAATATAGCATAAACCAATTGGTATTGGACAGCCTATCTTTTTATTATTGTTAAGTATTGTATTCCTCCGTTGCCGATATTAAAGACTGTAATTGATCGATCTCTATTGGTATATAAACACCTTGAATGGATTCCTTCAATACTATCATCTAGTAATATATTTTATATTGAATTTGGACAGTAGTCAGGAGTGAAGTTCAAAACGCGTGTTTTGTTTTATTTGGAACTCGTCAGCAGGATGCACCTGCATCTTAGTGTTGATATTCATACAATAATTAGAGCCTAGTACATTAAGCCTCAAGCCCAATAGCATTATGAATTGAGAATTTTACTTATTTATATTTATTTATTTACTTATTTTCAAGTAAAGATTTAAAACCGGAATCTCGATTGGATCCAGTAGAATTGAATATTTGCAACTATGGATGTTATAGTTACCATTGCTCAGTACAACATTAAAATGTCAATATACCTTAATGTATTAATGTATTATTACTGAAAAATAAATATCATGCCATTTAGTTGGTATTATAATAATTATCTCTTGAAAACACCAAATTTATTTGAGTTATGTCGCATATTATGTTTCTGAATCCCAACCATAGAAATCTTCATGTCTAGACACCAGTTAATAATCATGCAATATGTAATAACATTGACAAATTTGGAAAATGTTTCCATAGTGTTATTTCATTTAACCACAAAAATGCATAAGAAGAGTAATTATTTAACAATAAGAAATCTTTATGGCTTTAAATAGATTATTTTAAATTTGTTAAAATCATCCTCCTATGATTCATAACAGAAAACATAATTTTAAATGGATTTTTCACAATTCTGTTCATTTAATGATTAGTTATTTGATGATCATAAAAAATTCTTTCAAAACAGGTACATGTCAAATTCACTTGGTGTTGTTTTTTTACTTGTATCTTCCCACTGTTGTTTAGGACTTCAATTTTTCAGTCTCTTATTGGCATATGTTAATTTTGTAAGGATTGCCTCGATATCGCCTTAATTCACAAGCGTTGTAAGTAAAGATGGATGATGGCTAACAGTGGAATCCAGGACGCTCGTTTCGTCCTATTTGGGACTCATTAACTGGATTTACCTGCATCCCAGAGTCGATGTTCATCTTTGTTTTTAAAGCTTATGACTTAAGGGAATATCGAGGCAGTACGCACAATATGCACATATGCCAATAAGAAACTGATCAATTTCAGTCCTAAACAACAATGGGAAGATACAAGCAAACAACATTAAATGAATTTAAACTTCACCCCATTGCACAAGCAGATGGCTATCAAGACTAAGTAGCTAATTGGATAACGCGATGGCGTTTGAAGCGAACAGTACTGGGTTCGAGTTTCAGAGTGAACATCAACTCTGAAATTCACGTACATCTAGTTTACAAGTCCTAATTAGGGCAAAACGCGCATCCTGGACTCCACTACCAGCCACTATCCATCTTTGCTTATAAGTGTATTTCAGTATATTTCAAATAATTATAAAAAGACTGAGCCTTTTAACAGCTTTCAATAATGAACAATTTGAATTTCATCCCACTTGAGGGTTATTGATTTGTACCACTAAGGAGTTTCGAATGAAAACAAGATAGATGTTCAATATCAAACGAGTTTTTTCTACAGTTCTCTAGATGAAATGAGTTTATAGTAAAATATTAGCTTCGGATTGTATAAAATCTGCATAAAATCATGTTAGCAAATAAATGGACAGGAAGAAGTTATCTTTGAAGTTGGAAACGAATAGAAATTATTGGTAATTAACTTTTTGGAAAAATAAGACAAAATTAATTTAAATTGTTTCATCAAGTATTTATGTTAAATGATAATACAACTGGTCTACAAAATTTAAGTCTTTACCTCTCATCCTATCATAATCTGGCTAGTCTCTATTGATTATTTAATACAACTCACGAACTGTGTGTAAAAAGAATGTGATGAGATTTCATTCAACGGGGATATCTTCATGTTAGTACGAAATGAGACTTTGAGGAAAGTGTCACCTATTCAAAGTTAATTTCTGTTTCAATTTATTCTATGTTACTACAAAAGATAGTCTTACACCCTTGAATGTCAGTCAATAGTTTTTTTCGAAACTTAATTTAATACTAGATAAAAACTTTGATGTAAAATGAATAATCGAAATACAACTGTAACAAAACAACTGAAAATATCTAAACACTATTTCTGAAGTACTTTTTTTGAAATTAAATCCAACATTCATAATTATTGCACATAACAATTATGAATCGCATTTCACATTGAGTTGGCATGTAAACATTTTCTTATCTAAAAACAAGGACTTATAAACTAGCTATGAGATCTAACACACAAGTTTGATACTGATCAGATCTCCTTAACTTATTGGACAACAATTTATGATAATTTAAGGTTCTTATTAAAATTGACTGGATTTAAAAGGATTAGTGATGTTCTTTGGGCTACTATGAAGTTACGATAACTATTAAGGGATGTCAGTAGGTAATATACATTATTTTAATTGTAAGCTTTGAGTGTTACCAATGTTTGTATTAACAATGATTGTAAAAATCTGGTTAAAATCTTATGGTTCATATGTTAAACATAAATCAATTCTTTAAATTACCAGAATGTGTTTTGTGGAGATTTTTAGAAATTTTCACAGATTAAACTCATGAGTCAGTTGAAGCTAGACCACCACTGAGAACCTGGAAGCACTGGACGGCCGTTTCGTCCTAGTGTGGGACTCCTCAGCAGTGCGCATCCACGACCCCGCACCACCCGGGGCTCGAACCCAGGACCTACTGGCTTCGCGCGCGAGCACTTAACCATTAGACCACTGAGCCGGCATCCAACTGACTCATGAGATCAGTCTGTGAAAATTTCTAAAAATCTCCACAAAACACATTCTGATAATAATAATAATCACCTGCTCACTAGTGACTGACTTCAGGAGACACTTCTGGAGTTCTAGTGAGAAGTCGTTACCAGTGGAGTTCAACCAGGTCTGTTGTGAGATAGGAACTCACTGAAGACAATGGTGTACGGTAGCGCAACTTCGTGGATTGGTTGAAGTTAGACATTAACACCGTTGGATGCCGGCTCAGTGGTCTAATGGTTAAGTGCTCGCGCGCGAAGCCAGTAGGTCCTGGGTTCGAGCCCCGGGTGGTGCGGGGTCGTGGATGCGCACTGCTGAGGAGTCCCACACTGGGACGAAACGGCCGTCCAGTGCTTCCAGGTTTTCAGTGGTGGTCTAGCTTCAACTGACTCATGAGTCCAATCTGTGAAAATCCCTTAAATGTTGTTTTACTTAAACCAAGGAGCTTAACTCAAGTTTGTTACAATTTATCAAAGCTATAAACCTATTAAGCATGAAACAGTAACTTGATTCCTTCATTCATGGCATATAAAGTGTTTTTGATGAAATTATTAAAAAGTTGTTTTAAGAAGGCCATTTTGATTTCATTTCTTAAGTGTTGTCAAAGTAATAGAAAGAAAGTAAATGGTTTTATTTTAGGACAAATTCCATTTTAAACTATTCTACAAACTGATATAACATGAAATGAAACTTATGTAGCCGCGTTTAAATAAATACAAAAAATCTTGAAGAAAAATCGTCCTTAAAAGCATTAAACTGTTATTCTTAGTTAAAAGAAACCGACAATACACTGAAATCAAAATATAAATCAGTAAAAACTTGAATGTTATGTAAGTTATTTATAATTTATATTTTATATGTTGATTGCACAAAACTATAAGAAACCAGTTGGTCTTACTCCAACTAATTTGAATACAACTGGTCATCTCAATACTTCTTCCAGGAAACATTCCACTTTTTTGAAGTTATAGAAATATATGGAAATGTTTTTACAGCGATTGAAAGCCATTTTCTGCTAAAGCATTTATTTAACTAAATAGTGTTCATGTGCTTTTTTGATATTTAACTTCCAAATGGATTTAAATGTATACTAGCCAAATGTTTTGTCTGTGACGGCAGCAATGGCAAACATAAGCTAACTACAAAGTGGTGACTTTGGATCAATATTTTACTTTATCACGAACTAAATGACGCTAAAAAACTGAATAAGTTGACACTGACTGGAAGTGAGTCCTAATATAGTTGTATGGTACCTAAGAATCTCAAGTTAAAAACTATATGGGGTTATGAGTGCATCATGTTGAATAGTTTCAAGAGTAGATTTCTCGTGTTGAAATCAGCTTTTCTGTAAATTTACCTTTACTAAGACTTTTATCACAAATGTCTTATTCATTAAACGATATGGATGTAGAAGTGAGGTGCATCAGCAACGGAACCTTGATAAATAAGCAGATTGAAAAAAACAGCTGTGTTATATGTTTCAGTCTACATTATCCAGTACGAATAGGTTGTACGGTACCACATATCAAACTTGGGCTGTTACGTGGGAAGTGAGAGTACGCTGTCCAGAACGGACCTACAATAATTGCGAAAGTTGAATTAGATCAAAGACATTCGTGGTTATTGTCTTCAATAGTCTATAAAAAAAATTCGTTTTTCATGGTTCTTTCCAACACATTTCATGACATTAA